TTTTTCTCCTGTTTCTCAGTGCTCTTCTATTGTTTAATTTATCAAGAAACGAAGTGATAATGCAAAACAAGTACACAAGAAATACCTGATAAAAAGATTCGACAAACAAAATGGAGGAGACAAATATATGTATTTCTTTCTGTACTTTTTCCCAGTTCTTTTTCTATCTCTAACAAAAACTATGTTTCGATATTAACAGAATCTCTTGTAAGGCATATACCTCATTCGTCGAGGCAGAGGCATCATCTCACAGCAAGGAGAACGAATTTCTCCGTGTTTTTTGCCCTTTCTAAAAGAATGATCCAAGGATCATATTTGTAGGAGCCCTAAAGGGATGAGATTTGCTGCAGACAAAGCTTTAAAAACTGCTGCAAAGTGCATTCTATGTAAGGACAACAAACATCGAGCCTCATGTTTGTTTCCACACAGGAAAATATAGCGAGAAATACCCCCTAGGATTTCACAGATACCTATTAAAGCACATGGGATATCATAGCAAGAAATATCCCACGACAGTCTGAGTAACTTTAGAAAGGCCCATGGCATCCTCTAAAATGCTTGAATTTCTATGTTAGAATGAGGTTTAGAAAAGATACATGAAAGAGAGTCGAAAAACAGGAAAGAAACTTATAAAAACTACAAATAATTGATGTAATACATGCCATAAAAGGAATCACGCGCCAGCCCTATTATAGTTGCAAGTTCTTTCCTTGTTTTTGTCCTTGCTCTCCTCTTTCCTTTAATTATACAGTTTCAAGCCCAAAAAAAAGTTGTAACCTCAGTACTTGTGAATTTATTTATTGATTGGCTGCAACCATTGGCTAAAGCTTTCATAAAATTAGAAACTAGAGCTTCTTACATCCAGATCAAAGGCAAATGGACTACTTAAAGCCAACATGAAGGATTTGGGACTCCATGGAGCTAACTCTATGAGTAATGAGCAGTTTAGAGATACTTAGCCTTCAACAACAACAACAACATACCCAGTATTATCCCACACCGTAGAGTCTGAGGAGGGTAGTGTGTACGCAGACCTTACCCCTACCTTGTGAGGATAGAGAGGTTGTTTCCAATAGACCTTCGGCTTAGGAAAGCATAAGCACCACATTAATGAAAACATAGACAAGAAGGGAAAATACCAAAAAGCCATATAAAAGCAGGATAGAAACAACAAGACAGTAAGGTGATCAACAATGAAAGAAAACAACGATTAGTCATAAAAACCTACTACCAACAGAAAGCGAGACTGCGTGTCAATACTACTGTTATGAACACTCTAGACTACCTGCTCTACTACCCTAATCCTCGACCTCTATACCTTCCTATCAAGGATCATGTCCTTGGTCGGCTGAAGTTGCGTCATGTCTTGCCTAATCACCTCTCCCCACCTATTCTTTGGCCTACCTCTACCTCTCTATAGGCCCTCCAATGTCAACCTCTCACACCTACTCACTGGGGCATCTGTGCTCCTCCTCCTCACATGACTAAACCACCTAGGCCGCGCTTCCCGCATCTTGTCCTCAAAAGGGGGATCACCCACCTTGTCACGAATAACCTCATTTCTGATCCTATCTAACCTGATGTACCCGCACATCCATCTCAACATCCTCATCTTTGCTACCTTCATCTTCTAGACATGAACGACTGGCCAACACTCAGCCCCATACATCATCGTTGGTCTTACCACCACTTTGTAGAGCTTTACCCTTAAGTTTCGGTGGCACTTTCTTGTCACACAAAACACCGGAAGCGAGTCACGATTTCATCCAGCCCGCCTCAATACGATGTGTGACATCTTCATCAATCTCCCCATCCCCTGAATAATAGACCCAAGGTACTCAAAACTCTCTCTCCTAGGGATGACCTGCGAGTCCAGCCTCACCTTCTCTTCCCCTCCTTGAGTCTCGCCACTGAACTTACACTCTAAATATTCTGTTATGGTTCTGCTCAACTTAAAACCTTTAGATTCCAAGGTCTGCCTCCATATCTCTAATTCCACGTTCACATCGTCTCGCGTCAATCAATACAATATCATCTGCAAATAGCATGCACCACGGCACCTCCCCTTGGATGTGGCGCGTCGGTACCTCCATCACCAGAGCAAACAAAAAAGGGCTGAGTGTCGACCCCTAATGCAACCCCATCATAATCGGAAAATGGTCCGAGTCCCCGCCCACCGTCCTCACTTGGGTCTTTACTCCATCATACATGTCTTTAATCAACCTAACGTAGGCAACAGGTACACCTCTAGCCTCTAAACATCTCCATAAAACCTCCCTCGAAACTTTATCGTACACCTTTTCTAGGTCGATGAACACTATATGCAAGTCCTCCTTCCTCTCACTATACTACTCCATCAATCTCCTAACAAGGTGGATGACTTCTATAGTCGAACGCCCCGGCATAAATCCAAACTGGTTCTCGGAAATAGACACACTTCTCCTCACCCTTAGCTCTACCACTCTCTCCCAGACTTTCATAGTATGGCTAAGCAGCTTGATACCCCAATAGTTATTGCAATTTTGGATATCACCCTTGTTCTTGTATATAGGAACTATCGTGCTCCACCTCAAATCTTCGGGCATCTTCTTCGATCTAAACATGACATTAAATAACCTAGTGACTAGTGAGCCACTCCAAGCCTGCCTTGCCCCCACTCTTCCAAAACTCCACCGGAATTTCATCCGGCCCGATCGTTTTGCCCATCCTCATCTTACGCATAGCCCCCGCAACTTCATCAACTCTAATCTACCTACAATAGCCAAAGTCACAACGACTTCCAGAGAGTTCCAAATCACCCAGCATAATGCTCCAGCCCCCCTCCTCGTTCAAGAGACTATGGAAGTAGGTCTGTCATCTCCGACGGATAAGCCCCTCATCCAACAAAACTCTACCTTCTTCGTCCTTGATACACTTCATTTGGTCCAAGTCACGCACCTTCCTTTCTCGCGCCTTGGCTAACCTGAACAACCTCTTATCCCTACCTCGGTCCTCGAGTTCCTCATACAAACAACTAAAAGCTGCAGTCTTGGCCGCCGTAACTGCTAGTTTTGCCTCTTTCTTAGCCAACTTATAATGCTCCCTATTCGCCCTCTTCTCCACCTCGTCTACACTTTCTACTAGCTTCAGATACGCTGCATTCTTGGTTTTTACTTTTCCTTGCACCTCTCCATTCCACCATCAGTCTTTGAGACTCATAATACCTCTCTCGCGACTTCCCTAATGCATTGTGCGGTCGTGGTCCACATAGCGCTTACGTCCCTACTACTTCTCCAAGCCCCTATAGTCACCAGCTTGACCCCCAACTCCTGCGCTTTAGCTTCCGTCAAGGCTCCCCATTTTATCCTATGCTGGCTATACATCGCCCTCTTCCTCCTCTTCCTCGTGATCTCAAGGTCCATGAATAGGAGCCTATGAAAGGTTGAGGTTCTCACTCGGGATGACCTTGCAATCCGTGCAAAGACCTCTATCGAACTTCCTGCAGAGTAAATAATCAATCTGAGTCTCGGCCACCGAACTTCGGAAGGTGACCAAGTGCTCCCTCTTCTTCGGGAAACTCGAGCTTGCTATCACCAAATCAAATTCTCTAGCAAAGTCCAGCAGAGACGTTCCTCCTCCGTTTCTATCTCCAAAACCAATGCCACCATGCACATCATCATAGCCCCGACGTCGCTCCAATGTGGCCGTTGAAATCTCCTCCTATGAAAAGCTTCTCGGTATGCAGGACACCACGCACCATCTCATCCAAATCCTCCCAGAAACGCCTTTTGACTTCCTCATCCAAGCCTGCCCGGGGTGCGTATGCACTGATTATGTTCAAAGTAAAACCTCCAACAACTAGCTTAATAGTCATCAGCCTGTCATTCTCCCTCCTAACCTCCACCACTAGTTCAAGGAGGTCCTTATCAACCAAGATACCTACCTCGTTCTTGCCCCCCACCCTCCCAANTTTTAACATTGAACTCATTATATTTTTAAAGTTATGGGTTCATATCTACTATTTTTGCAATTTTTCATACTCTACAGCAAAAGTTATGGGAATCCATCACTAGAATACTACACTCGCCCTACGCACAAAAAACAGAGGCAGAGATCACTGAAAGTGAGGTAATCAAAAATTTAGTGTAAAGCATACCTTAAACTTTACAGTAAGGTCAAAACAAAGTGATCATGTGTTTTGGTTGAGTCTTCTAAGAATTTCATGGCATTTGATGTGCTTGAAGCGTTGAAAATTGGTAAGAGATATTTTGAATATTGGTCTTCATTTCTCACTCCCATATAGATTAACTCGGTTCTTCCATTCTTTGGGATTAGAAGGATCCAGTGGAAAGACTATGTCCAGCCGAAGGAAAGAATAATATGAAGATAGTTGGTTCGATAACAACATACGAAGGTATCAAAAACTAAGTACAATCCCATTCATAATTTGGTCTTGCACAAACCAAATGATCCTTTTGGGTCCATCATATTATCTCCACTAGGCAAGTCCTAACCACATTACTAATTCTAGACCCTGTAGACTCCATATCTCCTTGTTGCTATGACTTTTTTCCAGCAAGTTTAAAACCTTAGTCAACTGCAGAATCCCTTTAACTTTCTTACTCCTAATTAATGCAGAATCTACAAATAAAGTATCGAAGTGAAAAGGACTTTAAAATCAACCTATATAAGAAACAATAGAAAGAAAAAAAAATTTTAAAAAAAAAGGAAAACAGATGCAAGAGGTCATTAAGTGCAGTAACACAAAACTATGATATTTCCAATTTTGTAACTAGGAAGTCTAATTAAGATATCCAATGCATATTATGTCGATTTTTCACTATCAGTCAGAGAAATATCAGTTGCGCATTTAATGATGCAAATATTCTTCAGCAAGATACAGTGACTTATTTAAATACCAATCTTCCAAACTCCCATAATTAACCATAAGCAATAAGAACCTAAACAATTAATTCAAGAGAGTCACACAATATGCAACAAAAACATGAGCACATGATTACCTTCTCTTTAACAGCTTCTTCTCTGTTTGAAATCTGTTGCTGCTTCTGAGATATACTAGGACTCGGTTCGACATCACTCACCAATTGCTGCTTCCATTCCAACTGAGATGTGATTATGAGTACAATCAACAGAAAAACAAGCAGTATTGGTCTCGACATCATTAACAAGCTACTCTCACACCACCTGCCAACAACCCCAACAAACGAAAAAGTATATACATCAAATTCAGAAACAGACACATCCACAGAATTCATAACAGAACCCACCTTCACGATAATCTAGCAAACATTAGGCGGTAGTGCCCTCATTTATTCAATAGATTATAGTAGTATCTTGAAAGTTACATTATTAAAGCTGCTTTTTTTTTTGGCAATTCAACATCAACCGAAAGAGAAAACAGGATTTATCTCAAAAGAGAAAAGAAATGAAACCCCTAAATTACAATGCTCCATACTGAAAACACAAGTAGCAAAGCAGTTAAAAAAGGGATAAAATTTAAAGAAAATCAGTAACCCTGTTATAGCAACCAAGAACTAATCTTTTTCACTGTTTATGTGAAATTCCACAAATTTCCTAGAGAACCCAAATAGAGAGTACAGATATTGAGCAAATAACTTAAAACACTCCATGAATAAAATCCCAAGTAACAGAACACTAAATAACATGGATAGAATCCTTTAAAAAGCCAATAGCCCTATTGTAGCAACAAAGGACTGATCTTTTTTCACTTTTAATTTCAAATTCCACAAATTTCCCAGAAACCCAGATAGAAATAGAGAGTACAAAAATTGACCAAAAAATCCAAAGTAACAGAACAGCTTACAACAGCGCTATAACTGTAAAGAACTGATCTTTTTCACATTTAATTAGAAATTCCACAAAAATTCCTAAAGACTCAAATGGAGAATTTAGAAATAGACCAAATAACTTAGAAGATCTAAGCTTGAAGTGGAGTTCAACTAACCATAGGTCCTGTAATTGTGAAGTACCAAAAAAGGTCTTTTTGGGTTTCACTGTTTGCTTTCTTTTTTTGAGTTTGGTGTTAGAAATTCTGGCAGTTTCAAAGAAGCAAACTGCTTTACACTAAGACAAATTCAAATTGAGATTTTGAGAGCAATAAATGATGATGGTGAATTTGTTTTGGATAATGCTTGGGGACTGATTGTGGAGGTTACAGAGAATTTTTGGACTAGTCTTTAAATTGCAAGTTTGAGAGAGATGGATTCTCCTGTTGAAGAAGAAACATTCTTGGAAATTACAACAAGTAACCACAAGTTTCATAAAAGTTAATTTCGGTCCAACTTCTTTTTTATTTTATTTATTTTATTTTATTTTGGGTCTTGGTAGGAGTGGGTTAGATAGAAAAATTAGAAGGTCAGACAGGTTGTTGGGTAAAGGGCGGAATATGTACACCTTGTTGCCACAAAAAAAAAGGACATAAATTCTTTGGAACTTAGTGATCCTTTTATTTTTATTTTTTTACTAAGAAGGGAAAAGGTCGTAGGATGAGGACAAAAACGTAGAAAACAATAATAAATGTAGAATTTATGCTAGAGTGAATTTATCCATTCTGGATTATAGTGTATATATAAAGCCCATACAAGCTCACGTGTAAAAATAGCACGGACTAGTCAGTTTTCGGACTAGCCAGCATTTACAAAGTTATTGAAAAATAGCTATTATTTTGCTGCAACACGGAAAGTTCCAGCATAATATGCTGGAGATCGGTGTACCTGTATCAGAGGCGGATCCAGGATTTGAGGTTTATGGGTTCCTACCGTAATTTTAAATTAATATGCAATAATAATTGGGTTTACAGTTAGATATTTACAAATATTTAGTGAATTTCTTAATATAAATATAGAGTCTACGCAAAAGTTATTGTGTCACGACCTCGGTTCGCCCTCCGTGAACCATCGTGACGGCACCTAGTCTCTACGACTAGGTAAGCCTAAAACGCAGAAGAATACAATATAAAACAAAAATAATGTAATAAAACAGCGTTTTAAAAATGTCGCTCGGCATACAAAATATAACTCTCAAATCCAATATATATATCTCTCCCAAAATCCGAAAATCCATGAATAACAAGCTAAGGATATCACATAGTGCTCTAACTCCAGAATAGTCTAAAACAAGTAAATACATAAGGGTTGTAGCTACAAGAGAGAATAGAGAGAGATTTCTCGGTCTGCGGACGCGGCAGATATACCTCGAAGCCTCCGATGGGTCGCCTCGCCTCAGGGATGGTAAGTCTGAGTCAAGGTACTTGGATCTGCACATGAAAAATATGCGCAAAAAGGGCATGAGTACACCACAACGGTACTCAGTAAGTGTCAAGCCTAACCTCGGTCGGGTAGTGGCGAGGAAGGTCAGGGCCCTACTGAGGTTAAATAAAATATAAAGTTCAACAGTGTAGAACATAACAATATAAATAAGTACAACAATAAAAGTAACACAAGATATAAAGGGCAACAACAACTATTACAGAGACAAGGTAAACACAGAAAGAAATACGGTTCAGTACCAAAATAAACAATCAGGAATCTCCCAGGATATCGTCCTGTAGTCCCAAATATACATATCAATGGATCTCCCGGGATCCCGTCCCGTAGTCCAACTCATAGTGCGCAGGGATCTACCGGAATCCCGTTCTGTGGTCCCAAATATAAATACCCAGTACTAGGGAATCTACCGGGTGCATTCCCGTAGTTCCATATAACTGTGCAGGGGGATCTACCGGAATCCCACATCCGTAGTTCCAAAATAAGCAGACAAGGGGGGAGCTACCGGAATCCCACATCCGTAGTCCTAATGTAAATACACAGCAGCGAGAAGAAAATATTCAAAAATGACAAATTTCATATTAAGGCAAACAAGTAATTCTAGCCTAGCATGCTGCACAGAATTCACGTAAGGCAGTTTGAGCAAGTAAAGTAATTAAGTCACTTAGACATGTTTTTCTAAGCTAACAACAGGCTTAATAGTGCAAGTAATATAAACACGGAAAGGAAACATACTAGTAATTACTTAATGAAAATCGGATTTCCAACAATTAGCACAAGTACGCACTCGTCACCTCACGTACAAGGCATTTCAATTACCAAATATACCAAATCCTAAGGGGAAGGTCCCCCACACAAGGTTAGACAAGCCACTTACCTCGAACCGGCTCAATAATCAACCCGAGACCATGTTCTTGCTACGAGTACTCGACTCCAAATGACTCAAATCTATTCACTTCAATTGCATAATTTAAATAACACTTCAAGTAACTGATTCTACAAAGAAATTCTAAGCTAATACGTGAAATTAGGTAAAATGACCAAAACGCCCCTCGGCCCCACGTCTCGGAATCGGGTAAAATTTATATTTTCAGAATCCTCATACTCTCATGAGTTCATGCATACCAAAATTATCCAAATCTAAGTCAAATTCACAATAAAAAGTCGAATTCTAGGTCTAAGAACTTTCTTCCAACTTTTCCCAATTTTCATCTCCAATCCGAAATTAAATGATGAAGTTAACTATAGATTGATGGAATATAACTAGAAAGGGTTAAAGAATTGTTACCCACTGATCTCCTCTTCAATTTTCTCTCAAAATCGCCCTCTCCCGAGCTCCAAATCGAATTTCCAACTTTTGAAACTAAACCCTCGAAATTTCATATTTTTGTCCAGCTGTTACCGCATATGCGATCCCGCTTTTGCGGAACAATGGTCACATCTGCGACTTCTCACTTAAAGCCAGTTTTCGCTTCTGCGGTAGACCATCCGCACCTGCGGTCTTGCAGGTGCGATTCCCTTCTCGCATTTGCGGCTCCTGCTGGACCTCTCCAATTCCGCTTCTGCGACCACAAAGCCGCTTATGCGGCGCTGCACCTGCGGGACCCAAACCACAGGTGCGGTTATGATAGAAAACCAGCTGAAGCTGCAACCTCAAACTCCAAAATCCTTCCGTCAACCATCCGAAATTATCCCGAGGCCCCCGGTACCTCAACCAAAGGCACCAATAAGTCTAATACCATTGTCCAAACTTATACCAATCCTTAAAATACCTAAAACAACATCGAAACGACGAATCAACCACAGATTCAAGCCTAAGAACTCCAAAACTCTAGAAATACGCTTTCGATCAAAAAGTCTATCAAACCTCGTCCGAATGACCTGAAATTTTGCACACACGTCACATTCAACACTACGGATCTACTCCAACTTCCGGAATTCCATTCCAACCCTCGAATCAAAATCTCACTACCAAACCGGAAACTTCAAAATTTGACCTTTCGGCATTTCAAGCCTAAATTAGCTACGAACCTCCAAAACACAATTCGAACACGCCCCTAAGCCCGAAATCACCCAACAGAGCTAACGGAATCATCGGATTTCCATTCTGAGGCCGTCTTCACACTGTTCCAACTACGGTCAACTTTCCAACACTTAAGCTCTCATTTAGGGACTAAGTGTCACAAAACTCTCCGAAACTCAAAATCGAACATCCCGACAAATCAAAATAGCAGAAATAAACTGGGAAAAAGCAGTTAATAGGGGATCGAGGAATAAATTCTTAAGACGACCGGCTGGGTCGTTCTAGGGAACCCGTATTCTATACTCTAGGTCCGCCCCTGCCAGTGTATGAACTTCCAGCATATTACTGTAACGACCCGAACCGTCGTTTCCTGTATTTTCATCCCGTATTCCCCGTTAAATGCTTATTCATGTTTCAATATGTGTACTTGGTGAATTTGAGTCAATTCGGATCGAGTTTGGTATGAAATGGGACAATTAGTCTCTTTAAGGAAGAATTAGTTTGAAAAAGTCAACTGGACGTTGACTTGTGAGTTAGAGGGCTCGTAATTGAATTCCGATGATTCGGTTAGTTTCGGAGGATGATTTAAGGCCTAGGAGCGCAATCAGAATTAATTTTGGAGGTCCGGTAAAGAAATTAGCTCATTTTGGCGAAGTTAGTATTTTGGCGATTTCCGGTTGATAGGTAAAATTTTGATCCGACGGTCGAAATGGAATTCCTAGAATTTCTGTAGCTTCGTTATGTCATTTTGGACTTGTGTACAAAATTTGAAGTCAATCGAACGTGATTTGATAGGTTTCGGCATCGGAAATAGAAGTTGGAAATTCTAAAGTTCATAAAACTTGGATTGGAGGTTGATTCATGATTTTAGCATTGTTTGATGTGATTTGAGGCCTCGAGCAAGTCCGTAATATATTTTGGTACTGGTTGGTATTATTGGT